CAATGGACCCCGGACTAGGTGCGTTCCAATGAGTCTTCCTACCAATATGACCATGTTGCGAAAACAAGGTGAAACAACCTCTTCACTCACATTTGTCAAAACATGTTGGAGTGAGCTCATCAACCGAACCAGACATGTCAGATTACGCAGCCCCAATCTTGCATTTCCTTGGAGGGTTAAACGTTAATGACCCTAGACTGAAAGGTTATGACAAGTGGTTTCGTAACCTGACTTGCATGTTTATATCTCATTATCTCAATAATACTTGCTTACGGGCTTACGTAGTCTCGGTCAATGCTTTATCTTGGGTCATTAGGTCTTGATTATCAGAACCCGACATTAGCCTTTTGACAACTCTGATTTAGGACCGGTTTTGCGTAGACGCTACGCACACACACATACACGCACACACTTGAGCAAAAGTAGCAGGACCAGAATAAAATATAATTAGCCAAACCACTATATATCTATCTTGGTTTTTAACTTTCTTTTGCTTAATTGAGTCTATTGTTGCCGTGAAACTTTTGCAATTATGAAATCCAGCTCTGAGGAAGTCCATCATATGAGGAGATCTCGTGGACTGCGTCAATCTCAGCGTCGTATAAAAGCCAAATGGCTGCCTTACAATTGGATTCATCCGTCCTCTTCTGGTGAGATCGACTTACGTATCTCTTTTACATGCACTTTCATACGAAATGAAAGTCACCCAACAATGTTATCTTGGGATTTTAATCGAAACCCAATTACTCTTCGTATCCATAATCCAGACTTTGTGAGCCCACTCAGCGAGGGGGAAGTATATGTGTCTTCAAGTGCTTGAGGCAGTGTGTGGGAAATAACGTCTCGAGTAGCACAGACAGGATGACAAGGTTCAAGTGGTATACCTGAACGAAGGAGATAGGAGACGGATCCTACAGGGCAAGAGGCAAAGTCTGATAGGACTTATGGGAAGTGTAATGCGGATTAATATGGTGGGCTCAGATCAACATTCAAAGCAAAAGGGTGGGGGTGAGAAAGTTAGCGTAGGGTGTGAAGACGTCTGATGAAATCCGCTCACAAGGGCATACCACACCAAATTAAAATAATTATAAATTGTGATAGTGGAGGATGATAAGGGGATATAGGAAGATCTAGAGGAGCGCTTCTTGTA